TCAAGTGTAGAGAAATCCTATATAGTGTTTAATAAGAGGGTATTGATGGTGAAGAAGACTACTCATGTAGTGTTTGATGATCTGATTCTGAAAAATCTAGGATTGAGGAAGAAGAAGTAGGTGAGATTAACCAAGAAGTAGAAACTACAAATCTGGAGGAAATGATGGAACCTCAAAATACATTGCCTAGAGAATGGAAATATTCTTTGAGTCATCTTAAGGAACTGATCTTAAAAGACCATTATGAAGTTGTTAGAATTAGGCATGGACTTAGAAAGGAAGTAAACCACTCTATCTTTATTTCAATGACTGAACCCACCAACATTAATCAAGCCCTTTCTAATGAATTTTGGATCCTAGCCATGCAAGTGGAACTAAACCAATTTGTTAGGAATGATGTCTAGGATCTAGTAGAAAGACCTAAGGACCTGAGTATAGTAGGAACCAAATGGGTCTTTAAGAATAAAATAAATGATTCTTGTGTGGTAGTAGGAATAAGGTAAGATTAGTGGCTAAGAGATACAACTAAATAAAAGTGATTGATTTTGAGAAAACTTTTACCCTCGTAGCCCGATTAGAAGCCATTAGAGTGCTAATAGTATTTATCTATTATAAGATATTTAAGCTTTTCCAAATGGATGTAAATAGTGCTTTTTTAAATAGGGTAATAAAAGAAGATATGTTTGTAGAGAAACCCCCAAGCTTTGAGAATTTCTAATTTTTAAATCATGTTTTTAAATTAAAAAAGCTTTGTATTGATTAAAATAAGTACCCAGGGCATGGTATAAGAGGCTTAGCACATTCCTACTAAAAAGGAAGTTTGTTAAAGGGAGCGTAGACACCATCCTTTTCTGAGAAGAGTAGAAGATGAATTACTCATTATCCATATCTATGTTGATGATATACTTTTTGGATCTTCGGATGAAAATTTATGTGATGATTTTTCTAAAATAATGAGTAAGAAATTTAAGATGAGTATGATGAGAGAATTATCCTACTTTTTGAGATTTAGCATGAAATAAATGGATGATGAAACTTTTCTTAATTAATCAAAATATATTAATGACATCTTGAAAAAATATGAAATTGATAAAGTTAAGCCAATAAATACTTCCATTATCTCCAGTGTTTAATTAGGTAAGGATTCAAATAGAAAATTAATTAATCAAAAGAAATATAGAGGAAAAATTGGATCACTTCTTTACTTAACTGTTATCCGACCTGATATAATATTTAGTGTTTGCCTCTGTGCTAGATTTCAATTTGATCATAAAGAATCCTACCTAATTGTAGTTAAAAGAATCCTTAAATATCTCTTAGGAACCCAAAACTTAGGAATTTTATATCCAAGGTATACACCTCTTTTGAAATTATTGAATATTTTGATTCTGATTTTGTAGGATATATGATGGACAAAAAGAGCACATCTAGAATATATCAATTCATAGGACAATCCTTAGTCTCCTAATCTAGTAGAAAATAAAACTCTGTTGCACTTTTTACTGCTAAAGCTGAGTACATTTCCTTAGAAAGTTGTGTGGCCCAAATCTTTTATTTAAAACAACAAATTCTGGATTTAGGATAACCTGTAGGCACAATGTCAATTTTATGTGATAACATTAGTGTCATATGCTTTTCTAATAATCATATCTAATATTCTAGAACCAAGCACATTGATGTAAGGCATCACTTTATTAGGGATCATGTTATTAAAGGAGATATTGAGCTTCATCATATAGCAACTAAAAACCATCTGGCTGACATATTTACTAAACTACTGGCCTTTAAAACTTTCAGCATCTTAAGAACCAGATTAGGGGTTATAGACATAAATACATGAACTTGATGATTACTGAACTCTTAATCTTATATTTTCTAATCATTCTTTTATTTTTTTTTTACATGTTTATTTTTATTTATGTGCTGCTATTTTTTTGTGTTTCTTTTTTATGTTATTTTCTCCTTCAATTTTTGGTCACTACTGGAATGAAATTTTTACCTTGCTTTTATTTTTAAAAAATTTTAAATAATGATTGACATTCCTAAATCAATTAATGGAAGAAACACCATTGATTATTTATCTTCCTCTAACTCCTTCGGTAGTGTAATTTTCTTTTCAAAGCAAAAATCTATTTCAAATTAATAATTGAATTTTAAAATTGAGATATTTTTTATCTTGTTATAGTAATTTATGTCATATGAATAGTGTTCAAAGTCATTAAATAACTTTCACATTTTTTTTTTATCAAGTTATTGCATTTATCATATGAATGTTGATTTTATATAAGTTGTTAAACCTAAGCTATTGTCCCAAGGCTAACCAAGATGGGGGGATGAATTGGTACTTTAAAAATTCTCTTGGATTTTTAGAAAAACATTTTGAATTTTGTAGCAAGTTAAATTTTAATTTTTAAAATAATCTTTTCAACCATAGTAAATAACTTATAGTAAATAAATGCGGAAATTAAAATACATAAAGATTTATAGTGGTTCGGCCAAACACGACCTACATCCACTCCCTAAAGACTCCCTCTTTGGGTATTACACTATTACCAAAGTGCTCTCATTTTGCCCCAACAGCAAGGTGGAGAAGCCTTTACAAAAACCTCTCTTCCACCAATCCCTCGTACGGCAAAAAACCGTCATTCTTTCACACTCTCCAAGTGTCGACAGAGAACGTTGTCTGTTTGCACTCTCCAAGTGTCGGCAGAGAACCATTATCCTTTCACACCCTCCAAGTGTTGGCAAAGAACCATCGTCTATTCACACTCTCCAAGTGTCGGCACAGTACCGGATCTTCTTATAAAAAATTTTCTCATGAGCAACTAGAAAGAAGAAAAGAAGAGTAATCACCAAAAATACAAAGAGATCCTTACCTTTGAGTAACCTTGTGAAACCTTCACACTAAACTTGCAAGAAATCTCACTCAAACACTCTCCCGCACTCTCTCTTTCACTTGCTCTAGAAAAATCATGAAGACGAGACTTTCACGTCAGTTTTAGTGGACCTTTTATATTGAAGGCACAAAAACTGTCCAATAAATTGAAATTTTTAATTTTTAGCGTACACGATCGTACAGTACGATCGTATGTTTGTATATACAAACAGTTCAAAAATTGTTGCGTATGAACCTTATGTGAATCAGTACGAAATGTTTTCGTACATGAAGATCGTCCAATACGAACTCATTTTGTATTGTACGGACAGTTAGAAAATTTTTCAACTTCGTTGGGATGAAGAGGAACCCCACAATTTCGTACTCTGGATGGCGTACATACGATGACAACATCGTACGGTACGATCACTTGCAAAAAAATTTTCAAGTTTGTCAGGATGAAAAGGGACCCTTCCAATTCGTACCATGGATGGCGTACGTACGATGACGACATCGTACGAAACGAACTGCTCAGAAAATTTTCAAAATCATCTGAACGAAAAATGACCCATCCAATTCGTACCTTGGATGGCGTACGTACGATGACGACATCGTACGGTATGAACCATTCAAAAAAAAAACTTCAAATTCGCTGGGACGAAAAGAGACCTATCAAATTTGTACCCTGGATGGCGTACATACGAATGATATATCGTACAGTAAGATCCATACTTAGAAAAAAAATTCTTTTTTTGTTTAAGAATTTTTAAAACTACTAATTCAACCCCCCCCCTCTTGATTAGCTACAAGCTAGTTCACAATGGCTTAACAACCCTAACGAACTTTTAGTAATAAGTTAGTATTGTGAGTTTCCCCCTATTGGTAAATCTTGCTAACCTAATGAACTCTTATAATCATAGCGACTAATCACACAAAGGTGATGGGACTAGATTCAAAGAGCCAAAACTTAAGCTCGCTAAGATTTTCTATCCTCCCCTTTTTTAGAAACTCAATCAAGTGGCCTTCTTTCATTTAATAATTTTCTAGGATGTTTTCATGCATTATTGTCATGATTTTGGTCTTAGTAGTATAATTAATATTTGGATAACCCTTTTCTTCACTAATTTTCAAAGTTTCAACCACAATTTAAGCATTCGCAATTTTGTATCATCGTTAATACTATAAACTATAATTTTAGGGAGGGATTTCTATATGTTTGTATGATGAGCATAAAGAGCTAAGAGAGCTAAGAACTTGAGTCTTGGACCTCATAGTAAGTCATCAGACTCATCTGAAGTTATATGGCTAGGTAATCCTTATACCCCCACCTCTTGCCATGAAGGGTATGGTCTTGCGATTTCTTATCAAATGAGATTGATGATCAAGTAGATAATGAAAAAAGCTTAAAACCCTTGGTAAATTCTTTGATTTTTAAATCTTTGTTGTCCAAGGATAGCAAGTCAGACATCCTCTCAAGACGATTCTTTATGTATAACCTTTAATGTACCATCTCTCAAACCATAAAGGTTAATAACAATATATAGGTTAGGTCAAGGATTTCTAGCATTTCCCTCATGAAACTAGTAATGTAAGCTCTTATCAACTCATATTCTTCTTAGTGGACATCAAAAAGTATACGGGAGCTATTTCATAACTAGGAGAGCAAAATAATCAAGCAATTATCTACCACTTTAAATTATCAAATGATAAGATACTCCCAATGAGCATATATAACCAACACAATGACGTAGCCACCTAATGAAGTCTTTTATATCCCCCTACCAGTTCACCTTGCAATGAAGGGTATATTTTTGTAAATATATAAGAACTTGAATATTTCAAACCTCATAAATAAAAATAAACCCCGCAAAAGTTTTGTTTTTCCAAAAATATTTCCGCGCAACCATCTTACAAACAAAACAAATGCTTGAGGTCAAAAGTTCGCCTTGCAAATCAAGCATTTCCCTTACTAAATAACTACTCATTACAATTATAAATATACTTTACAAATGGTGAGAATAGACATTATATATATATATATATATATATATAACACTGTTTTCTTTCAAGTGTCGTAAGCATGTATTGCAATTCACTTCAATTTATTTGCCTTGCAAATGCACAGTCCAATAAAACTATAATTTGGATAATTATAAACACTGAATGATTTGAACATCTACTCAAACATATACTGTTATAGACAAATAGTGAAGTAGCATGAACTTCAACAAATATTTACAAGCTGTCTTTCTAAGCACTTCCATGTCTTGCGCTTTATCCCTTACACGCTAGTTATAATAAGACTAAAACAAAGAAAGCAATACCATTATGTACTCAGAGCAATTCGAGCCAAACCATGTAGAGAGAGGAGATCTCAATAGAATTCACGATCAGAGAAGATAAGAGGGGCCACAAGAGTCCACACATATAGAGCAGCTGTTGCCCACTGTGTGCAGATACGAATCCAAACTGAAGTCCATCCGACGTTAATCTGCTCTGAGGTGCCAGATGTTGAGCTACTCCAGCCAGTAAGAAGCATGGCAGAATACATGCTGGCCAGTGCAAATATAAGATAGAAGAAGAAATAAGAGTACGTAACAGGCTTTGTATCATTCTTCCCTGACTCAATTTCTCCTTCAATCAATGGCTTTGACGAACCTGCAGCACATTCCATAGATTTTGATCATAATAAGGGGGATGAATTGTGCAAGGTTGATGAGGAAAATGAAGAGAAAAATATCTAGAAATTCTTGAACTGATAAAATAATGTTTAGTACTGGATTTTGGAGAGGACGGCGGTGAGAGAAATGTTGTTGAAGAACCAGCCCTGACAGCAGAGTAAACTACTGAAAGGACAGTTGTTAGCATTCCTAAAACCAGGGTAGCTGTGGAAACAGGTTTTGAGTGGTTGTTGAGACCATTGCACTCATAGTCTCTGGGCTCGCTTGAGAGAGCGCTATAGCACAGATATGCACAGTACACGGAGATAACAGAAGCAGGTAAGAGGCTGCCATTCACCTGTTTCAGAGAAAAGTCAACTAAAATATTTGAATATACAAGATGTCCAAATTAAAAAATGAAAAAAACACAAGCACATCAAAAAAAAAAAATCATCATCATTAACCTTATCCCAACTATTTGGAGTCGGCAAAAAAAATAAAGTTATCAATAAAACCAAGAGAAAACAAGGGTTAACAGCATAACGACAATTGATATACTTCATTTCCATCACAATTTGAGGATCCTGGAGCTAATACTAATGGGAAGTATACAAAAAAGAAAACAATAGAAAAATGAAATTTTAATGTAGCAAAGCATCCCAGTAGTTAATAGATATCATGAACAATTTGATAAACTATAAAAGTTATTTAAATATGTAGAAAAGATGTTCTACCAATACATAAGAGCTAATAATCTAATGGGAAGTTCTGTACGCTTGTCTAAGGTAAAATAGTAGTTTATTTCCTAAACTTTCTAGAAAAACAAACCCTTGATAGGGTACATTTCCTTTTAAAAGTAATGGTTTACTTCAATGGACAAACTTTTTGAGTCCTAGGATCCATCAATCGCCTCTCATATTAAATCTTTTTTATTTGTGTTATATGCCAAATTGTGTTTCTTAATAATCCCTAGCATAGAAATGTTCAAAAGCATAGTTTTAACTTCTTCAAATATATTATAGTAGCTTGGCTGTGAAAATGAGTTTACAATCAAACAATGCCACGGAACAGACAATTTAATAGCTTATCAAGAAAAACAAAAAAGACAGATTTGCTACTGATTTTATCAATGTCAAACTTTATACTGAGTCAGATAATTTTTTTGCTAATTTACCATGGTATCGAAAATTACAACAGAGAAGAACAAATTATGACAAGACTATGTTTAATGGTTTATGTGCACTGCTTAAACAAGGAGACAAATCATTATCTATCCATTCAGTACCTATCAGTAACTCAACTAACAAGTAGCATTATGGGGACTCCAGCAGTAACTTCAGAAGTTATAGCTGTAACTACATCAATATGATTAAAATATTGAAAACAAGAATCGTACATATTTCAATCCAATAGATGTGTTAAACTTTGAACATTAGCAAAAAATATTAAAACCTGCTATGAACTTAATGTAGATCGCACATAGTAATGGTGTCATAGTGGCAAGGTATCTATAGCAGTCCTGTTCGTTCCTCTTTTCATAAGATCACAACCATTCTCACACGAAGGTTGTTATTTGTAAAATACGGTTAGTTCGGGATAAACAGAACTTTTTTAAACATTTAATGTAATCTTATCGTTCAAAGAAATATTTCCATGATTTTAAAAGCCCGTTGGAAAAACCACATGAATCTCACAAGCAATTTCGTTAAAATCAAACATTACTACCCACCTTGGGATGCAGTGCAATAACAACAAAAGCAAAAGCAAGAATCATGGTCATAACGATGAAGAAAACATTAAGGCCGCAATCATGGCCAGATGGGTTGAACCAGATAAAAAGCACCGCTGAGAATGAGTACGTAGCAATATAGCACAATCCAGATATTGAAAGTAAAGCAATGTACCTGCAACACAAAGGAAATGCAAAAAAAAATTGAGTGAAAGGCCGCAAAAAAAAAAAAGGATAGAGAAACCAATATTAATCAAATTTACAAACCATTTTTGCTCATCTTTCTCAACCCACGAGTCATTCCATGCGTAAGTGAAATCCAGAAGCAGGACCACTTGAACCAGTAAAAAAAATCCAGAGCCAAATTTTGACAATGTCTCTGCAGCGTATAAGATAGATGAAATACAAGATTATGTGAACATGTGAATAATTAAGATTAACAAAATAAGTTCTGGCAATGTGAATGCATGAAACGTAGTTATGACAAGGTGGTAATCCAACAGAAGATTAATAACAGGAATCCAGATGACAAAATACAGAAAACATTAAAAGAAAAACTGCCTTGCTTAGTGCAGGTGATGAGATACTATCACAAGCTCACAACATAAAATAAATCGAGTCTCTCTCTTAATATATTACTGATCAATACACTAAACAGCATAATAGCTTTAACGGGCAAAAAATTCTAACAAACATCAACAATCATGGCTGCTAAATTGACAAAGGACAAGTAGTGTTGAAGATGTTGATAGAAAACACTTAAAGATCTCAAGTAAAACCTAACAATCTGGACAAAAACAACGAGAAATATCCACCAACTCCAAGGAGAAAAACCAGAAAACAGCAGTTCTATTACGATTATCAAAAATCACGAAAAGAAAATACCAATATACAGTTATCCTCAATTCGAGAGCAGGATCTCTCTCCCAATCCCTAGACGCCGCTAGAGCCCAGGTCGCCAAACTCTAAGAACCCAAAACAGCCACAATAATAGCATAACCCTAAACCTCATATTTCTCTCCTACTTAGCATACAAAATTCCCCCTTACCCTAGCCGCCGCCCCCTCTCACCTTCCTAATTAAATTTCCAAGTGGGCCTCACCCAGGGCTTTGGCACAACTTCAAGAGGGTCGGCTGGACCGGTCCAGCAGGGACCGGTCTAACAATACCCCCCTTCCAAAGAATCACCTTGTCCTCAAAATGAAAGAAGGGAAATTGATGCTTCACCCACTCATAAGGCTCCCATGTGGCATCGTAGTCCGATATGCTCTTCCATTTGATCAGAACTTCCTTGATTCCCTCATCTCCCTGACGAACACCCATCAACTCCAACAATTCTAATACAACATCCAAGTTCTCTGTCAACGTCACTGGTAACTCAGAACTCGCTGTGTGATCCCCAATTGCCCTGCTCAGTTGTGATACATGGAAAACAGGATGTATGGTTGCTATCGGTGGTAGTTTCAACTGATATGTCACCACTCCAATTCTCTCTAATACCTTAAATGGCCCAAAATATCTTGAGGTAAGCTTCTCATTCCTCATGTTAGCAACGGTCTTCTGCCTATAAGGCCAGAGCTTTAAGAAAACCATCTCCCCTACCTCAAATTGGTGTCCTTCCTATGACCACTTGTCGGTCTCTTCATAATATATTGAGCCCTCAATAGATGCCTCTTCAATTCTTCCAACACCTGGTCCCTCTCCTCCAAATACACCTCTACTGACGAAACTGTGGTGCTTTTATATCCAAAGTGCACCAAGTGAGGTGAATCCCTCCAGTACAACACTTTGAATGGGGTCATCTGAGGAGTATAATGATATGAAGTGTTGCATCAGTACTTTGCCCATACTAACCACTTAGCCCACAGCCTGGGTCTCTGCCACAAAGCATCATAGGTATGTCTCCAAGGTCCTATTGACCACCTCTATCTGCCCATCTGTCTGCGTGTGATAGGAAGTGCTCCTCTTCGGTATTTTCCCATGTAGTCTGAATAACTCCCTCCAGAAATGGCTGAGGAACACCTTATCTATATCAAATACTATAGACTCTGGTATCCCGTGCAGTTTAACCACCTCCCTGATGAAAGCTGATGCCACTGTTACTATTGTGTATGGGTGTCGTAGGGGAATGAAATGGGCATACTTGCTCAATCTATCTACTACCAAAAAAATCAATATGAACCCTTCTGATCGAGGTAATCCATCTATGAAATCTATGAAAACCTCTTCCCACACATGACCTGGTAGAGCTAAAGGCTATAGTAGTTCTCCTAAAGACATTGTCATGTATTTGTTCCTCTGACAGATCGCACATCCTACCATCTCCTCCACATCCTTGTGTATCCCTTCCAAAACAACTTTGAGGCGAGTCTGATGTATGTCTTTTACACTCCTGAATGACTCCCAATAATGCTCCCATGGAACTTCTGGAGCAGGTGTGGAATATGGACTGATGTCCTAGGCATCACAAATCTCCCCTAGTGCAGAAGCCTCTCACCTTCTAAAGAATACCCTATATGGCTACTCCCTTCCTTCAATAAATCAACACTAATCCTTCCCAACTCCTCATCCACTCTCCTCCTTAACGGCCTCCCAGGCATAAGTGGTATCGACATTGTTATCGTCTGTAACTCTCCCATACATCTAGACAAGGGGTTTGCTTCCTTGTTCACCATCACTGACATATATTGGATTTCAAAATCATATCCCAACAATCTTGACAGCCATCTCTGGTGCTCCTTTGTCACCATCCTCTACTCCAACAAGTAGTTCAGACTCCACTGATCCGTCCTAACAATAAAATGCCTACCTAATAAGTAGGGTCGCCACTTCAGGATGGCTAACACAATGGCCATCAATTCTCTCTCATAGACTGATTTCATCGTGGCCTAGCTGTCAAAACCTGGCTGAAGTAGGTGATGGGTCAATGGCTCTGCATGAGTACTGCTCCCAATACATACCCTGAGGCATCTATCTCCACTATGAAGAGCTGAGTGAAATATGGTTGGGTCAAGACCGACATAGTGGTCATGGTATGCTTCAAGCTTTCAAAAGCTGATGTGGCCACCTCTCCGCATAAGAAACCATCCTTTTTTAATTGTTATGTTAGTGGTCATGCGATGGTGTTGTACCCCTTCACGAATCTCCCGTAATAGCCCATGATTCCTAAGAATCCCCTCAACTCCATGAGATTCTTAGGTATTGGCCATCTCAACATAGCTTTAATTTTGGTATGATCTACTTCCACCCCTTCTTTAGAGAGTACATGCCCCAAGTGCTCCACACTAGCCTGGGCAAAACAATATTTTTTAGATTGGCCCTTAGCTGGTGCTCCTGTAACACCTCTAAAACCCTCCTCAAGTGCTCCCAATGCTCATCCTCTGACCTGTTGTAAGCCATAATATCATCAAAAAAACACCAACACAAATCGCCTGAGATAGGGTCGGAAGACCTTGTTCATGAGGGACTGAAAGTAATGGGCATTAGTGATGCCAGAAGGCATGAGTTCTGAAAATAGTCTTTGGTACATCCTCCTTTTTCATCCTGATCTAATGGTACCCTGACTTCTGATCTATCTTGGAGAAAATAACTACCCCACTAACTCATTTAGTAGCTCATCTATCACTGGGATGGGAAACTTGTTTGGCATAGTTTCCTTATTCACTGCTCTGTAGTCCACACAAAACCTCCAACTCCCATATTTTTTCTTGATCAGTAACACTGGGCTGGAAAAAGGACTCATACTGGGCCTAATAATCCCAGCCTCCAGCATCTCTCTGATCAACTTCTCCATTTCATCCTTCTGAAATTGAGGATAGCGGTAGGGTCTGACACTGATGGGTGACACACCTTCCCTCAAGGTGATAGCATGTTCCTACTCCGTTGGTGGTGGCAATCCCTGAGGTGGCTAGAAAACCTCATTGAATTACTGAATCAATGGTTGCACTAAAAAAGAGAAGTCCTCACCCTCCTCGAGTCTGATCCTCTCCAACCTGTGTAGCTCCACCATATAACTTTCTCCCACCTCCTATATGCTCCTCGCTATGATTTTAAGTGATACAATGGCTTTGGAGAGCCATGCATCTCCTTTGATCACTACCCTTTTCGCTTCCACCACTAGCTCCATCGTCAATGTCCCCCAATTAACCTTGGTGTCCCCCAATACCTGCAGCCACTTCATCCCCAGGATGACATCAATGCTCACTAAGTCCAACGAGAGAAAATCCTCCCTCACTTGGATCCCATGTATGGTCAAAACCACTCCCCTACAGATCCTTTGGCATGTTTCTACTTTCCTTATGACCATCATCACTCCATAACACCATATATCCACTAATGTCACCCCCAATTAGTCCATGAACAGGTTGGATATGAAATTGTGTGTAGCCTCACTATCAATCAGCACCACCACCTCCATATCTGCTATTTCCCCATTCACCTTCATGGTATGATTCAAGTGAATACTACCAATGAGTTCAAGGAGACCTCTGCCACATCCAAATGCAGCTTGTCCTCCACCTCTCTCTACCTCACTCTCATCTCAATCCTCAGTTTCCTTATCATTACAGACGATGACACTTTAAAAATATGGTCCATACACATGTGCCCTAGAGTAAACTTCTCATCACATTTGAAGTACAATCTCTTTACCCTCTTCTTCTGCATGTCCCTCTCAGCCAGTCTTTTAAAGTTCCCTCCACTTCCTCCTCCTATTGGCTTCTCCCCGGTAGTCTCACAAAGATTGCCCGCTGCAGGCCGCTTGGGTGCTAACAGGGTAGTAGTCATCTTGTAAGAGTCACCTGAATTGCCGCTTCTGGCTCTCATCTCCTGGTACTTCTGATCCTCCAATAATTGTACAGCTGCATAACTTCTCCTAAGTCACGAGGCCTCATGAACCTCACTGCTATCCGGATCTCTGATTTGAGCCCCTTCATAAACTTCCCCTCAAGAACAATATCTAATAGTCAATCCAATCGACTTGCCAAGTACTCAAATCTCTCGTAATAGTCCACCAATGAACATTCCTGCACTAGTGCAAAGAACTGCTCATAGAAGTTCATAGAAGTCCCTTCCCCAGTCGGTTAGGAAAAGTTTCAATAAGCATTCCTTGAACTCCCTCCAACTCCGTATGGGCCTCCTCATATCTCTCCACTAGTATCAAGACAACGCCTTCCTTTCATAAGCCAGTTGCCATCAATTTTTCTTCCTCCATCAACCCATGGATAATGAAATACATTTTCACCTTATAGATCCACCTATGTGCATCCTCCCATAAAAAAATGGACATCTTCATCCTCCACACCTTCGAATCATATCCTTGATTCCTTCATAATTTCCCCTTTCCCAAGTGTTTGGTCCTCCTCAAGTGTCTCAATCCTCCCTTCCCCACTCATACCCATACCCCTCTTCACTTTCTCCTCTCCACCCTTCAAAATCAGCACCCCTCCTACCATAATCCCCTTCTTTTCTTTACCAACCAGCACCCCTTGGTTCATGCCCCATAAAAACATCTCTCTCCACCTCCCACCTTTCTCTTCAATGATCTCCACATCGTTTTCCCTCCTACGGATTTCAGAATTCATATTTCTCCCTACCGGACCCCTTGCCTCTCACCGTTTGATTTTGATTCTCTAACGTCTTCTTCACCATCTCGTAGAGAACTGAAACTTGGCCTTGGCTGATATTTTATCCTCCACTGTTGCTTTCATTTGGCTCATCTCCCCTTCAAGGAGTTCTTCCAGCGCATCTACTTTCTTGGCAGTCATCAATACCCGAATTTTTGTAGACTCAAAAATCAAGATCTTGACCCCAAAAAATAGCAAACACCCCCACTTCTAGCAAAAAATAGCCGCTGATTTTCACAAAAATAGCCCACAAATAGAGTACCAAAATCTTCTCTGATACCAATTTGATAGGAAATACTTGAAGACCTCAAGTAAAACCTAACAATTTGGGCAAAAGTAGCGAGAAATATCCACCAACTCCAAGGGGAAAAACTTGAAAACAGTAGTTTTATTGCGATAATCAAAAATCACGGAAAGAAAATATTAAGATACAGTTGATCCTCAATTCAAGAGGTACCAATCCCTAGATGCCGCTAGAGCCCAAGTCACCAAACTCTGAGAACCCAAAACAACCAAATAATTGCATAACCTAAACCTCCTATGTCTCTCCTACTTAAAGCATACAAAATTACTCCTAACCCTAGTACCCCCCCCCCCCCCCCCCCCCCCCCCCCCTTCTCTTCCCTTTTTCCTAATTCAATTCCTTGGTGGGCCCCACCTAGCGCTTCGGTAGCAACTTCAAGAGTGAGGACCAAGGAGCGGTTGGACCGGTCCAACAGAGACCGGTCTAACAAATGTTAACTAGGCTATTACATGTATAATAAGTAACTGAATAATTTAATTGAGTTAGTTTTGACAATTTTTATGTTGAAAGCATGTAAAAAGTGTGTTGATTCCTATTTTTTTGAATAAAGGTGATGAACAAGATTGTGTGAATTATAGAAGAATTAAGTTAATGTGTCATACTTTAAAACTATGGGAGAGAGTTATAGAGCATAGGCTGCGGCATGACACTAATGTTTCTCAAAATCAATTTGGATTCCTACCAGGTAGGTCTAATATGGAAGTTATACATTTATTGAGAGGTTTGATGGAGAAGCATAGAGAGAATAAGGAGGATCTACATATGTTTTTTATTGATTTAGAGAAGCATATGATAAAGTTCCAAGAGAAGTGCTATGGAGAGTTCTATACAATAAAGGGGTTAATAAAGCTTATATTCAAGTCAAATATGTATGCATGAGCTATTACTTGTGTTCATACAAAACGTGGTTTGACCATGTATTTTCCTATTTCAGTTGGATTGCATCAAAGATCAGCCTTAAGCCCATATCATTTTGTTATAGTCATGGATGTTCTCACTAGACATTTATAAGAGTTTGTATCTTGTTGCATGCTTTTTGTTGATGATATTCTTCTTGTTGATGAGACTAGAGAGGGAGTTGAAGGTAAACTTGAATTATGGAGGTCAACCTTAGAGTCTAAAGGCTTTCGTTTGAGTAGATCTAAAATTGAATATATTGAGTGTAATTTTAGTAATAATATATTTAGTGGGGGGATTGTGACTTTGGGCGATCAAATCATTAATAAGAGCACACGTTATAGATATCTTGGGATTATTGTTCATAGTGATGGTGAAATAGATTGTGAAATTATTAGTAGAATACAAGTTGGATACTTTAAGTGGAGGAATGCATCGGTCTTGTTATGTGATAGAAAAGTCATTCTCAAACTTAAGGGAAAATTCTATAAGATGGTAGTGAGACCTGCAATGCTTTATGGTGCAGAATGTTGGCCAAGAGAAACATAATATTAAGTTAAGTGTTGCAGAGATGAGGATGCTTAGGTGGATGAGTGGCTTTACTCTTAAAGACGGGATACAAAATGAGCATTTATTAGAAAAGGTTGGAGTAGCTCAAGTGGAATATAAGATTAGAGAGAGTCACCTTAGATGGTTTGGTCACATAAAACAACGGCCTTCCGATGACCCAATTAGAAAAGTAGATGTATTAGATTTGACTTATGTTAAAAAAAGGTAGAGGTAGACCTAAAAAGTAGATGTATTAGATTTGGTCACATACTAGGTAATTAACTTTACTCTTCATGTAATCGACCCAACATAGTGGGATAAAAGCTAGTTGTTGTTGTTGTAAAAGCCTGAAAAATGTACTCCTAAAAGTTTACATCTTCCCAAAAGAAAAATAAATAACTACACATGGAGAAAAATGATTTTTCAATTATTTCAAAGAATCTTCAAAGTATACAGCAATGAGATTAAAAATGGAAAGTATACAAAAACTATAAAGATAATGGCCACATGCTTATAAAAACTTTTGCATTTCAATGGAGAATACGCAAAACCTAAAAGCACTTGAATGGTTGAAATAACCAGAAGCTCAGCATGCTATCAAGGGTTGAACAGCTTAGAGAAAAAAAAAATCTCAAGCTGTCATCCAGCGAAAGAATGAGCTTTTCGTAAGTTATAAGAGTTGGAACTGTGTAAGTTGGTTGCATAGACAATTTGCACATGAAATTTAAACTGCAAAATAATAAAACTCTAATAATAATAATAATAATAATAATAATAACAACAACAACAACAACGATAAAAAGATTAGTTGCTGTTGCATGTCCTATTTACTTTTTCACTTATCCTTGCTTCAATTTTAATGCTCTCCATGTTCTCTTCGTTACATCTTGCTGCTGCCTTAAGCATATTATGAGGAATTTGATTCTTCTTCATGGTGCGTGTATGCTATGCCAGCGATCTTGGATTTGATGCCTTCCTACACCAAAGAGGAATAATGATTTGGCTGCTGAACTCCAATCATGGTTTGAGGTGAATGAGGGAATTAGGTAGCATGGCTATCAAGCCATCGCCCAACAGTGCTCTCCCATCTTGGTGGCATCTGGTAGTAAATCAACTAGAAAATGAAATCTAATAGGTGCTTGCAATCTTTGAGTCCACAGTTTTTCTTACACCCAGTCACAATCTATGCTACTATATAAGTGTGGCGTGTGATTCTTCCCATAAATAATACAAGCCTTTGTTTCTTGAATTAAAATTAATCTCTACCATCTGATTTTGCGCCTCTTCACATTTTGCTTCTCTATTAAGCCTCTTCACGACATTGCCATGTTTTCTTCAGCTTCGCATGAAGAAGAGCTTTGAAAATGTCACCAAAGAAGCCTTTTTGCTTTCTTCTAGATGAAGGTCATGTCGGGTCGATAGTTACGATGAGAGGATAGTTACGATGAGAGCTCAGTACGAAGGTAATGATCTTTTCTCCTACGCACTTCGATTATTCTCCATGCATTTTATCGCTTCAATTTTGTGCGCTTTGCGTATAGAAGAGATATGAAAAAGTCGCTAGAGAAACTTCTTTGCCTTCTTCTACAATGTTTCTATTGGAACTAGCCACAACGGAATTAAAGATTATGTAGTGAGAGTTTCAATCATATCATATTTATTTTTCCCAGCAGAATCCCATAAAGAAGATTGTTATCTCAATATAGTTTAGATATATTGGGTAATACATGTAGAAAGTCTTCATTTATTTTGAATGGTGTTTATTCAGTGGTCTGGTGTCGTTTGAATCAATTGCCTGATTATTTTATCTGCTAGGATTGTATGCTGCTAAGAATAATCAAACTCAGTTTATAATTGTGAAGGTTACCATTCATGTTTGTTAGCTAGCATTATTGTTATTCTGCAGATGTTTAGTCTACATTGAAGCATTGACAACATTCAAAACTTTATGTTTTTTTTCTTCCTCAATGACTTGGGGAAATGTTTTGCCAACATAAACACAAGTTTAATTTATGGGGAAAACATCAATGGCACAAAAGTTGTTATTAAGTTAATTTGACCGAACTAATAATTGAGTTAGAAACATAAGAAAATGATTTTCATAATTTAATCCAAGTTCAAAGTAATAAAAATTGATCTTGTTCATTGCGGTTTGAGAGGTGATTATGATCGATCTAATGTTAGAGGTCATTTTACGGCCAACCGTATCAATATTTCTCTTTCTTTCATCTTGCTTTTTATTTCATTTGATGCTATAAAGGAAACAATAAAACAACAACCTTGAAGTAGAAAGTTATGATTTGGGAGTTATATTATATGATGCATTTGAGTTTAATTGTATTTTCTTACTAATATTTAGTGACTTTAGTCAAAGTTGCTTGGTATTTTGGTAGTTTTTCGTACAATTTACTTAGTTTATCTTTGCTTCAAATCTAGCTTTATGTTTCGAAGCATTTCATTCTATCTAATGCTATTATGTGCTACTTTATTAGTGTAAAAATAATAATTCTTGAGAACCTAATATATGAAATATTTTAATATAAATTTCAAATTTATTGGCTGCAGCCTGTTGGGTATATAGGTGCTGCTAGATGTATTTTTTTCTTTAATATGGTTGTATTTTTGCATGTCCAACTAATTCAATAATCATAACTTACTCCAAAACAAAGTCTACTTTTATCAATGCTAATGGAAAGGCATGTTCTTTTCTAATAATCTATGAATGAAAAAAAATCAAGACAATTAAATAACTTGCTGAATCACAAAAAACAAATCTCAATCAGAAAGAACAGACAAATCAATTATAGAACGAACAATGCATTCAATGCCAAATAAGTTACCATAAATTGTAATGAACACATTTGGGAGGAAGAACATAAGAACAACTAGCACCGCCCATACAACAATCTTCAAAATCCATCCACCATGGTGCCATGAAACTCGTTTGTCATTCTGATCCTTGACCCCTATCATCATCAAGGCAAGCACGATAAAAAACAAGAAATTTCCCAAACTGACACGAAGAACTGCATTGGTCTGAAACCATTCTTTTGGTGGAGTGCGGGTGAAAGTATTTATCCCTGCAATAGCAACAACAATTTTAACACTTGAAAAAAAAAGACATATAGGGTAATAGAAGATCAAAAGAAATGCTATTCTGTATGCCATAGGCAAATGAAGTATATAATAATCAAATATAATAAGATATCTTTAAGTTGGTAAATTTCTGCAGAGGTAAAGATCAACTACTGGCTTTGAACAATAAACAAAAAGTAAGAGCGATAAATAAAGCCTTAAAACTAGCACAAGATTTGCTGTAACAGGAAATTCTTAGCATAAAGATGGACAAAGCATGGTAAAAAAGTCTGCTTTTTGGAACATAACCCTGACTACAGACAACTAGCCATCTCATAAAACTTCTATGCACTAATTGCATGCTCTCAAAATATGAGTCCTTTGATTTTTAATGCAAGAACAAGCTCCTATTGGCTAGTCTAAAACAAGTAATAATCAACTAAAAAGAATACGTCCCTCAAAGATTTGAGCACAGAGTAAAAGTTCAAAATAGTCCCCAGACTATTGATAAATGTCTAATTTAGTTCCAGAGTTTCTCAATGCCCCATTTTAGTCCCTCAACTATTAGAAATTGAGTCAATTTAGTCATAGAGCCTAAGATAAGAGTTATAGTGATGCGGACATCGGCACGAAGATTTGGCGCATCTATCACAGGAGGCGTTGTAAATTGACGGCTATAATTTAAATTGTCATTTATGAGTTATTTTCTGAACTTTAGCTCTTATTTTATGCTATTTCTTGTTTTACCACCCTTAGGTTAGTTTATGTGAGTGTTATGGCCCAAGGGGCAATTTTGTAATTTTGAGTTTTTCTTATGTTATGGCCTATATATAGGGCCTTAAGCTATTGTAATGAGGATGAAGAATTGATATTAAAAATTTGTGTTCAACAATTGTGCTCTTGTGAGAGGACGATAGTGAGAATACTATGCATAGGAATCGGAGTCTTCACCAGCCGCAGGATGGGTTCGGGCTCGTGACTTGAAGTCCCTTGGAGAAGGGCAAAGCATCACCCATCAGTCTTCGGAAGAGTCCAAGGCTCGCGGCTTTTATCCTTTATCTTTCGTTTTTATCTCTTCTTTGTTTTGTTTCGCTCCTTCTTATTGTTCCTAGCCATCGTCGTCATCCTCTACCTACGTCCACCATCGTCGTCTCTTTTTCCACCTTAAGCCGCCAGCCACCTCACCATAAGAGTCTCCCAACCGCCGGCCATGGCTCCCTAGCCACCGGCTTCACCCATCCCTCTTCCTTCTTGAGTTTCCTAATTTGGGGTGAATGACATGTGGACTTAATTTGAAATTCAAATTATCTAAATTTGAAAGTCAAATTTTTTTTTCCTAATTTAAGTTCGTCTATTTCAGGAAAGTACTTAATTTCAATCAATTTGAATTTGAAATTCAAATTGGATTTATTTCATTACTTTCCTAACTCCTAAAATCAAGTTTAGAAGCTCTCAATCACAACATTCAATGCTCCCCTTATTCATGCAAGCCGCTGACCCCTTTATGAGCCAATTAGGAGTTATTTCCTAATTGCTTCATAACCTCTCTTTGAGAAAGTTTCCATTTTAAATTCTATTTGAATTTCAAATTCAAAAAGGATTTAATTATTCTTTCCTTAATTCCCTAACATTAATCAAATCCCAAGCCGTTAATTTCCTTCCCAAAACTGAGAGCATATTCAGGAATTAAATCCATATTTTCCCTCAATATCCCGCCGGCTACACTACTGGAATTTCCTAAGGCCTCTTTAGGTTCCTTTGTTTTTCTTTAGGAAGAGCTTGGAATTCAATCTGCTCTAGCCGAATTCTCCCTGGGCTATTTCCTTTTTTTTTCTAATTCATTTCACGGATTCAAGGAATTGAATTTCCCTCAGCCTCCCTTGGATCCTGCCGCATTAGTTCTCCCCTCTCCGTCCTTTCCTCTGCTTATTACCTGCTGAATTTTTTCTCATATTTTGTGGGGAAAATGCTGGAATTCCTATCAGATTTTGTGAGAAAAATCTGAAATATTTCAGATTGGCCGTAAGGAATTGTTTCAGATTTTTGGGATGATTTGCTCTTCAAGACCATTAGAAAAATCTCGTTTCACGTTCTACATCAGTTTGGTATCAGAGCATGGACTCGGATCGACTTGGAATAACTCTAGACTAGGTGGTAGGTTAAATAAGCGTCATTAGTCAACATCTCAAGGAGAATCAAGCGGACTTAGCCGACTTCCACCGTCAAACAATCGAACAATTCGATAACCTAGTGCGAGGTAGGACTGACTCACCGCTTTACACGCCTTCAAGATCTCCTTCATCAAAGGATAGAAAACGGGTACTAAGAAACAGAGAAATAGTGGATAGAGTTGACAAATGGATGGAGGCGAATGAAGCCTTCAATTTCCCACTCACTGTGCAAATCAAAGAGAAATCTAAGGTGATCAAGGAAGAACATGAAGAAGATGATGAATTGGTTGAGTCAATTACAACTCCTACAGAAGCAAAGGTTTCTTCTGACCCCATTAAAACTCCTACAACGGAGAAGGTTGATGAAGCTCTAGAAATGATATCCATAGAACTTAATATTGCTCCTATCGCTTGTGAAGCCATCTATGAGAGTGAACAAGTTCCTGCAAGCGAAAAGAAGTGCGACAGTTTGGAAGGTGAGCCCTTGACTACAGTTAAAGAAATTGGCGAGCTAAAGTGCAACAAGCAAGCTGACCTTGTGGACAACCGGGGTTGTTTGAAAATCTTTGAAAAAAGGTCATTGGGTTTATTGTTTCCAAATAACAATCCAGAGTTGTACATGAGCAGTTGTGATGCTTACTCGACGGAGTCGAGTATTCTCCCACCTGGGGAGAATGATGCGGACATCGGCACGAAGATTTGGAGCATCTATCATAGGAGGCGTCGTAAATCGATGGCTATAATTTAAATTGTCATTTATGAGTTATTTTCTGAATTTTAGCTCTTATTTTATGTTATTTCATGTTTTACCCCTAGGTTAGTTTATGCGAGTGCTATGACCCAAGGGGTAATTTTGTAATTTTGAGTTTTTCTTATGTTGTGGCCTATATATAGGGCCTTAAGCTATTGTAATGAGGATGAAGAATTGATATTAAAAATTTGTGTTCAATAATTGTGCTCTTGTGAGAGGACGATAGTAAAATTTCTATGGAGAGGAATCGGAGTCTTCACCAGCCGCAGGATGGGTCCGGGCTCGTGACTTGAAGTCCCTTGGAGAAGGGCAAAACATCACCCGTCAGTCTTCGGAAGAGTCCAAGGCTCGCGGTTTTTATCCTCTTCTTTGTTTTGTTTCGTTCCTTCTTATTGTTCCTAGCTGTCGTCGTCATCCTCTACCTACGTCCACCATCGTCGTCTCCTTTTCCACCTTAAGCCGCCGACCACATCACCATAAGAGTCTCCCAACCGCCGGCCATGGCTCCCTAGCCGCTGGCTTCACCCATCCCTCTTCCTTCTTGAGTTTCCTAATTTGGGGTGAATGACATTTGGACTTAATTTGAAATTCAAATTTTATTTCCTAATTTAAGTTTGTCTATTTCAGGAAAGTACTTAATTTAAATCAATTTGAATTTGAAATTCAAATTGGATTTATTTCATTACTTTCCTAACTCCTAAAATCAAGTTTAGAAGCCCTCAATCACAACATTCAATGCTCCCCTTATTCATGCAAGCCGCCGGCCCCTTTATGAGCCAATTAGGAGTTATTTCCTAATTGCTTCATAACCTCTCTTTGAAAAGTTTCCATTTTATGAAATTCAAATAGGATTTAATTATTCTTTCCTTAATTCTCTAGCATTAATCAAATCCCAAGCCGTTAATTTCCTTCCCAAAACTGAGAGCATATTCAGGAATTAAATCCCTATTTTCCCTCTATATACCGCCGGCTACACTATTGGAATTTCCTAAGGCCTCTTCAAGTTCCTTTGTTTTTCTTTAGGAAGAGCTTGGAATTCAACCTGCTCTAGCCGAATTCTCCCTGGGCTATTTCTTTTTTTTTTCTAATTCATTTCACGGATTCAAGGAATTGAATTTCCCTCAGCCTCCCTTGGATCCCGCCGCATCAGTTCTCCCCTCTCCCTCCTTTCCTCTGCTTATTACCCGCTGAATTTCTTCTCAGATTTTGTGGGGAAAATGCTGGAATTCCTATCAGATTTTGTGAGAAAAATCTGAAATATTTCAGATTGCCAGTAAGGAATTGTTTCAGATTTTTTGGACGATTTGCTCTTCAAGACCATTAGAAAAATCCTGTTTCCCATTCTACATCATAAAGTTAACTCATAAGTTAAATATGAAGCATATTTTAGGCATGACAAGTGAATATGAGATTATATTGTTTACATTACTATATTTTATCATTTAATAAATTATAGCACATAGTTTATCTAATACATAATAAGGGTGAATAAAAAGTGAAAAAAATTATTTTTTAAAGCAAAACCTAACATTGTTCTTCTTTACCATATTTTCATAATTTTATGAATTATGTAGTAGATTAAAAATTATTAAAATAAATTTCATTTTACATTAAAATATGTTAGGTTTTGTTTTTAAAAAATATAATTTTTTTCACTATTTATTCACCCTTATTATGTATTAGATTACCGGTATAATATAATTTATTAAATGATAAAATAGAGCAATATAATCTCATATTCCCTTGTAATACCTAAAATATCATTAATATTTAACTTTAACTTTGGAGTTAACTTTAACTCTGGAGTTAACTTTAACTCTTATTTAAGGCTCTGGGATTGAATTGACACAATTTCTAATAGTCAATGGGCTAAAATGGGGCAATGCGAAACCCTGGGATTAAATTTGACATTTATCAATAGTCGGGCAACTATTTTGAGCTTTTGCTCTTTGAGCATAATTGCTTAAGAAAAGGCATGAGGCTTGTTCATTACAAGCTAACCATATAAGCTTTTACTCAATAGGATTATAAATACACCCACTGCTTGTTCATTACGAGCTAACCATAGGCTTTTATTCAATAG